GAAAAGAGAAATAATTTAACGACAGAATTTTTAATCAAAGGGGAAGCAAAACTTAAAAATTTAGAGAATTCTCACCTATCTATGTTTGAAGAAATGACAAAACAAGCTTTTTTGTGAGAACAAGGGTGTAGGCAAGCAATTTTGATAAGATGAGTATGTATCAGCAATCTCTATGATACTCATCAAGTCTATGGAGAATAACCTCAAAGTCATTTCAGAGATTAGGGATGCCCCTCCCATCACAGGCCCAGAATGCCAGGACCTAAGAGAAAGAAACATTTTAAGGGTTGGGAGGCTCCAAAGCCTGTAGGACCTTGATGTTTGCTGTCCAGCACTACCTCAAAGCTATGTTTTCCACATTTTGTGCAGTGCTCCCCAGCTACCATAGATGCAGCTCCAGCAAACCCTGGTGTGGCTCAAAATGTGGTGGTTGCCCCTCTGGAAGGCACAGGCAATAAATCTTGGAACCATCCATGTAGTACCATCTCCACTGGCACAAAGAGTGCAGGGGCCATCTGCATGCACAGAAGGTATATGCCTCTACCTAGATTTCAAAGGATACGCTGTAAAGCCTGGGAAGGGTTCACTGCAGAAGGCTCCACTAAGGAAATATCCAGCAGACCTGTGGAGGCAGGGCTTCCCTCAATATCCTAGACCAGTAGAGCCATAGGAGGAAGATACCAGCCTTGGGTAACCTTGAGTACATGACTCAGGCACAGAACTACCACAAAGGTGGGACTACTGCAGAGAAATGCCATAGGTCAGGACCCAGGAAAAGAGCTGTGCTGGGGGTTGGGCTGCCCAAAGCCATAGGGAGCAGGGCCACCACACCAGTGGGCTTGGAGGGCATATTTTCAAGTCAAAGAAGTTTATTCTGGGTTTTAAGGTTTAATGTTGTTTGCCCTGTTGAGTTTTACACATACCTGGGACCTGTTATTTCTTTCTTCTTTCCTATTTCTCTTTTTTGGAATGAAAATGTCTACTTTATACCTGTCATACCACTGTATTTTAAAAACATTCAGCTGATTTGATTTCACAGAATCACAGCTAGAAAGCAATTTGCCTCAGGAGGAAACACCCATATCAGTCTCACTCATATCAGACTTATATGATGTTTAGATAAGAATTTAAACTTCAGACTTTTGTTATGAATTAAGACTTTGGGGACTTTGGGGATGGAATGAATATACTCGATATACAAGAAGGACATAAACTTAGGGGAATCAGTGTAGAAAGTTAAGGTGCGAATGTTCGTGTTTCCTAAAATTCACATATTGAATGCCTAATCATCAGATGAGTGACATCAGCAAGAGTAGGAGACACCAACCTTCATTCTCTCCACACCAAAACAACACTTAGCCATCCATGAAAGAAAATAGGACTAGGGAGGGCTCAAGGGTCCAAGTAAAGACATGTAGCATCATAGTGGAGCAAAAATAGAGAATAACCACACTGAAAGATTGTTGGAGAGACAGGAATCCCTGAGACATTTGGAGATGGATAGGAACAAAGAAGGGCAGGGCAGAGACTATTAGTATCAGTCACAGGGTGATTGACACTGAGGTATCTAGTGGCCTAGTCTACAAAATTCAAACACTGAGGTACCCAGTGGTCTGATCTACCAACAACCATTCCTGTCATGAAACCCTTGGAGAGGCAGACGCTGCTGCACCTTGCCTCCCACTCAAAAAGGAGCAGCTGATAGGTCAGGTGGTAGGAAATGAGGAGACGTTGATCAAATTGTACAAACTTGATAATATAAGCTGAATATGTTATGGAGACCTAGTGTACATCATGGTGACTATAATTAATAATAATGTATTCTATACTTGTCATTTGCTAAAAAAGTAAATTTTAAGTATTCTCACAAGACACACACACACAAAACGTAAGTTTGTGAGATGATGGATATGTATCCTGATTGCAGTAATCATTTTACAACGTATATGTATATCAATACATCAAATTTGAATATATATGATTTTTATTTGCCAATTGACCTTAATAAAATTGAAAAAGAACAAAAAACTAATCACTAATGTGATGTTAATCAGGAGGTGGGGTACTCTGGGGATGATTATATCATGAGGGCATAGCCCTCATTAATGGGATTAGTGCCAATATAAAAGAGGTCCTAGAGGGCTGTCTTGATCTTTCTATCATGGAAGGACATAGCAAGAAGGTACCATTTATGAATCAGAAAGCAAGGCTTCACAAGACACTCGATCTGTGGGTACCTTGATCTTGAACTTCTTAGCTTCCAGAACTGTGAACAATAAATGCCTGAGCTACCCAGTTTATAATATTTGGTTATAGCAGTCCAAACAGACTAAGACACAATTATGTCATGGATCTTCAAGATTTCTTAGAAATAGTCAAAGTCACAATGTATTAAATTCAAAGGGTAGCCAGGCTTGGTGGCTCAGCCTGTAATCCCACGCTTTGGGAGGCCGAGGTGAGTGGATTGCCTGAGCCCGTGGGTTCAAGACCCACCTGGGCAACTTGGTGAGATCTCATCTCTATAATAAATCAAAAAGTCAGCCGGGTGTGATAGCTCGGCTCTGTAGTTCCAGCAACTTGGAAGGCTGAGGCGGAAGGATCGTCGAGGCTGCGGTGGCTGGGAGCGGCCACTGCACTCCAGTCTGGGTGACAGAGTGAGACTCCAACTCAAAATAAAATAAAATAACAGGGAAAATTGGGCAACTTACTTAAAGTCTTTGTGTCCAATATCTTCTTTTGTAATATGAGAACATTAATAAATACGAAAAGGTACATAAAGAGTATATAATATATATGTCTGTATATAGCAAATATTTAATAAATATCAAGCATGCTAATATTTACATATAATGTATTTATTATGCAAATATATAACTATGCACATGCTATAAGCATATATGTGTTCATATAAGAATATGTGTGCACATAAGAAGATTGGAAGAAAATGAACTAAAAATTCTGTATATTTGATGTAATTCTAGATGATTTTTGTTTTCTTCTTTTTTTTGTAATTCAAATTTTAAACAATGTATAAGTTTAAATTTATAATAATGAATGTCAATTTCATTAACAGAAAAAAATAATCTTAAGTTAAATTATCAGAGGTTTATTGTGATTATTAGAAAGAATGTATATATGACAGCTTTGAAATACTGGAATAGGTTTGTTAATGTGAAAAAAAGGAGGAGAAACTTAATATTTTTCACTTACATTACTGTTAGGGTAAAGAATAGAGCTCAAATTTTCAAATCCCTGACAACTAAACAAATGATTCTGTGGCAATGTCCAAACGAACTTACATTTCTACAGTTGTGTTTCATAACAGATATACAATAAATATAATGACTAGATTTTTACAAGCAGTTTTATTCTAAGACTTGATTTATAATACAGAAGCAGGCAAGTAGATTTTTTTTTCAGATTTAATTTAGGCTGCATATTTTCTTAATTGTAAATATTCAGATCTTATAAATTATATGCCTCTTTAACACGGAGTAGTAACTGAAGAAAATAAACACAGGCTAATGACACAAAACAAGGGCACTGCTGAAAAATGGGTTCCAGTTTATTTTAAATATAATTTTAAATAGCCCCCTTTTTTTTATTATTTCTGTGCTTGATATACTAGTGCAGAAATAAAGCCTACAGTCTGAAAAGTAACTTGAGTTGATGTTTAGTTAAAAAGCAAAGAGATAATCAGGTAAAATAACTTCAGTAGTTATAACCTGTCACATTATATTGAGGGAAACTGATTGAATGCAAAGGCAATGACTAAAATTTAAGACTAGTTAATGTTCATTAATGGCTATCAAACTTGTCAGCTCCTGGGGTCTTGACACAGCTATTTTCAAATCATCTTTGTATTATTTAATAAATAAGAGTATTTTTCATCATTAGCACATGTTGGCATATCAGACACTATTTGTTGATCTGGAAAGTCATATTGTGCTCAGATACAATTTCTCAAAATTATTCTCCGAGGGGTTCATTCATACTTTATTTTGGGGAGTGGCATAATAGTAGAAACATTAAACAAGTGTCATGAGAATACAATTAGATAAAAATGAGACTTTACAGAATATTACATTTGGGAGTATATATACAAGCATATATATTATATCTCTATCTATTTATCTACCTGTCTAATTATCTATCTATGTATCTATCATCTACACATACATACACAATGACTATGAGGCAACAGCGAAAAATGGTGACACTGTAGTTTCTTTAAGGTAGAATTATGAATCTATAGTATAACTATATAAGTATAATCTAAAGTATAACTTTCATAGTTTATAAATTTTATATAATTGAGATATATCACTTTATATAAGAAAAACTATAATGTATATTACAAAATTATAGATACATAATTTTTGAATGTAGTGTTTTCAGTCTCCAGCAAAAATCAGAATTGTAGTACATAAACAAACAACTTATAGTCTTATTTCTGTGGCCCATGTGCATGCAAAATAAATTAAAATTAAGTGCATATGTGAAAAACTGCTGTTTTATGTTGTTAAAATTGTTTTGACTGATTGGTGAGAAATCTCAGAAACATGAAGATTTTATGTATGAGTAACAATAATTTAATTATATTTCTATCAATTTAAAAATTGAGCTCAGCCGGGCTCAGTGGCTCAGCCTGTAATCCCGCGCCTTTGGGAGGTTGAGGTGAGTG